TTATTTTATTATTTTATTATTTTATTATTTTATTATTTTATTATTTTATTATTTTATTATTTTATTATTTTATTTTATTTTACATTTTACATTTATATTATTATTTTATTTTATTTTATTTTATTATTTTATATTATTTTATATTATTTTATATTATTATTTTATATTATTTTATAATTATTTTATATTATTATTTTATATTATTATTTTATATTATTTTATATACCACTTCACCATGCTTTTATAGTCCTCTCTAAGTGGTTTACAGAGTCAGCATATTGCCCCAACAATCTGGGTCCTCGTTTTACCCACCTCGGAAGGATAGAAGGCTGAGTCAACCTTGACCCAGTCAGGATCGAACTCCTGGCAGTCAGCAGTGACTGCAGTACTACATTCTAACCACTGCCCCAGCACAATTATTGTGTCAGTCACTTAATAACTGCACCAAAAAGGTAATAAAATTAGATGTGACTCAGTTAACATCCACATCACTTAGCAATCCAGTTTCTGGTCCCAATAAGTGAAGGACTCGCCTGGAGCAATTTCAAACAAACTTGGTACACAGATGACTTACTCTCTGGAAAAAATATTGTGGGGGTAAGATACATCTAAAACCCCTCAGTGTGTGTTCTGTTAAGATACAGGCTGTTGTGCCTTAAAATGGTTTCTACTGTACTGCCATAAAATGGCTTCTGTTGTGCAGCGCAGTGGAGTTGCCATGGTAACGGCTTCACAGTACTCCACAATTGGGCCTCCCTCTGGTAAAGGGGAAAATCCAACCTTAGAAATTACACTTGGTTCAGACATTTTCCCCCTATAAATAAATATCCGGGCAACACAGGGTTATTGGCTAGTATTAAATAAAGTATGTCCTATCACAGCAGTAGTTCCACATCAATATGAAAATTAATCCACTTTTCCCCAAAGATATAAAGACTTGGTCTATTTACTTTAATGTATGCATATTCAAATCCAATCACATGTATTGTTACAATCAAAAGGCCAGTAATATGCATGCATATTCTGCAAGTGATTATTTTCCGAAATGCAATATCTTTTATATGTGAGTTCCTCTAAAATAAGCCTTTGCAATTGGATTTTCCCAGAAGAACTGTTTTGTATGAAATTGTTTTCTGCATCAGAAAATATTGGAGGTGGGGTAGAGAAATCAGAGAGCAACAAGGAAATCTGTTCAGGTACCCAGCTGAATGAATTTCAGCTGAAAATGGCTGCATCAATGTTTTGATTCTATTCCTTCTCCAAGAATACTGTACTGTACTAATCAGTTCTCCTGAATTTAGAGAGAGTTTAGATGTTTCTATCATCTCTCTGTCTCTGTTTCTCTGTCTCTCTCTGTCTTNGATATTTGTCTGAAATGGTTTGGGGTCTCCTGCTTGAGCAGGGGGTTGGACTAGAAGATCTCCAAGGTGCCTCCCATGTCCATTATTCTATGTTCTCTGTTTTCACATGTGGTCACTAACTAATGCTGCTGAGTATATGTTTGGATAAATGGCAAGGTGCATAAAGTGAATAGGATGCCAAGGGCTGGTGGTTCCCAGGTGTGTGGGTTTGCACAGGTTCGCAAGATGCTCCAGTTAAGGATGATCTGTCCAGTTCAGCGAACCTGCAAATCCAACCCCTGGCTGGCCCCTCCCACCCCACCCCTCCCCTCCCAGGAGTCTTCACGCGGCCCGTTTGGGATGCCAGGTAAGTACAGAGCCTGTACAGGCCCCTTGGAGAGGATTGGGGAGGGTGAAAAACAGGCCTCCTGGAATTTCCGGAAGGTGGGAAACAGGCCCCTTTCTGGCTTCCGGAGAGCCTCTGGAGCCTGGGGGAGGCCAGTTTCAACCTCACAGAGACTCGAGGAAATTCTCCAGAGAATTTCCCCATCCTCCGGAGCCTGGGGGAAGCCATTTTCGACCTCCGGGAGACTCGAGCTCCTAGTTCCCTCAATCCAGGGGTGAAATTCGGCCGGTTCTGACCGGTTCTAGAGAATTTCCTCGAGTCTCCGGGTGGTCGAAAAGGGCCTCCCCCAGGCTCCGAGGCTTGGGAAGACAGAGGCTGGGCAGGGCAAGCCCCCCCCCCAGCCATGGTGCAAGAGGCTGACTAGGCCACACCCATCATGGCCACGCCCACCCAGCAACCATGCAGAGAACCCGTTGCTAAAATTTTTGAAGCCTACCCCTGATAATTCCCCTTCCAGAGCATTAAGCCCTCTGCCAGTTGGACTTCAGAATTCCTGATAGGTCTGAAGTCCAAAGGAAACTTCAGCTTAAGAAGGACAACAAGACGCAATTCGTTCTAGTTTAAAACTGTCTATTTTTGAAAAGAGCATAGTTCTATCTAACTGCTGAGGAAACAACTGCATTTAGAAGGGGTGCGTAGTAACGCATTCAAAATAGATTGCTATTTTAATTCCTTCAATGTCAAACTGTCTACTATAGCTGTGACTGTATATTTCTCCCACACTCCCCAGTATAATCTCTGTGCCTCTGTTTTTTTCTTCTTGCCTTAGCCGGGCCATTTTAGGTTGCCTCCACTGAAGGTTTTTTTTTAAAAAAAATCTCCATTGTGATTTTAAAATTTATTATTTTTATTTCCAGGGAAATGTGTAATTGGGATTTTTTTGAATACACTTGAGAACTCTGACTGTGTAGGAATGGGGTTCCTGGATGGTGCTGCCTGTTAATTTGGCTAATGTCTGAAACTAGCCCTAATACTGATCCGATTTATTTTATTTTATTTTATTATTTTATTTTATTTTATTTTATTATTTTATTTTATT